GGAGTAGAAAGCCTGATCTTTCTCCCGAGGAGCGGCTGGTAGTTTCAAACCGCTGACCTTAAGGTTCGCAGCCCGATTCGTAACCACTATGCTACCAGAGCTATAGAATTTCCAAATTACAAGGATGTCATGTAGATTTCAAAATAAAACAGACTGTTATAAGCAGGGGGAAAAACTATCAAATAACAGAGTAACCCCAAAGAAAAATAATACACCTGTACATCAATACATACACACACACACACACACACACACACACACATGAATAAGCACTGGACTGAAAACCACTTGTGGTCAGCAGTTCAAACCACAAGCCGCTCCTCAGAAACCCTGTATGGCACTTAACAACACCTATATATATATTCCAATATCATAAATATTTACGTATGCATCTGTCATATATAAAGCATACATATATAGTTCCAAGTTCCATTTTTTTCCCTCCTGCTCAGATTGATCTAATTAAAACCCATGATAAACTTTATGGACTCTAATATCTCCAACCAAATGACGGAAACCAAGAGGGTGTGCCTCCAGGCAGCAAGGCAGCAATGATAAGCAGCAGGTTAGCCACTAATTTCTCAACCTGGGTAGATTGTGAACGTGTGATGTTCTGATATCCAAGAAACTGTTCAGGAGAGAATAGGATAAATCAAGTTTAATAACTCTGCTCCTAATTGTTCCCCCAATGCTCAACTCTAATTACTTGGAGAACTCTCCCGACTGTCACCTGATATTAAGTTGTTGGAGGCTGAGCCTGGAACAGTGAGATAATCAATAAACATTTAGTGGGGAGAAGAATGAAGATCCTGTTAAGCAGTGGGAACCGGCAGCACCCAAAGCCCTTCTGCTCATGAGAAAACCTGAGGGACAGCCATAGTGATTGCAAAGCAATAATCCAAAGCACTGTTTTTAGGCCTTGAGGCCTTTAGGCAACAGTACATTTGAGGAAAAAAGGTTAACACGGTCACCCTAATTACAGCCCACTTTCACATACTTCATATATAAGCGAAGACAAGCCAATTAGGTAGGAAGGAAGATAAGGGAAGTTTTATTTGTATACTAATTAAACCCCTGATGAAATTAAAGGAAAAACATACAGCTCTGTAATTGTGTCTGAGAAAGGTCACTTCAGGTTCAGCTATCAGAACAGCACAGCCTTGAGATTCTTCACTTAATCCACACTACAGCCCTCATTTTGTACTCAGGTCTTAATATTTACCACACACACAAAAAAAAAAAAAAAAATCAAAGCCTGATAGTGCATTTATCTTTAACCACTGTTGTGAACAATTTTAACTGTTAGGAAGCTAATACTAAATATGATAACAAGAGGCTTTCAAAAGCACCTAGACGAGAACCAATTGCACAGGATAACTGATCAAAGATGCTGACTTTTCACTTTAAACCCAACATGATTTTAAGGCCATTTTTACAACCCAATTCTCAACTGACAGTATTTCCAAAGTTACCATGTAGCATCTTTACTGGGTTTTTTTAAATTTGTGATACTGATCTCATTGCTCACCTTGAGGTAGGCCTGTCATACTCAGAAATACCAGCTGATGCATTCACTAAATTCCTCTTATAAGAAGGTACTTACAGCTGGTTGTTTTTCTAAGATGATTATGAAAAGCTATTTTCCACTA